ACTATAATTGGTAAGACTTGACCCGACCCGACATGGTCCATTTGGGTTGCATGGCATCGGGACAATTGGATAGACAAGATGAGGAAAAAGGATACTAGTGATTTATATTAATATATTATAATTTCTAATATGTTAATATATAATCATATTATTTAATTAGTATTGATCAAGAATTAATTTATAATTAATCAAGTGATCAAAAGGAACTAATTAAATATGGACTCTTAGATATATATGCGTGATGGGCCAAGTTCATTTATGTTGGGCTAAGCTTTTATGGATAGTCCATGGAGTGTTTAACCCATGGATCATACGAAATGATGGCTCATGAGTTTAACCCTAATATCCATACTATATAAAGATGCCTTTAGTTGGTGAAATGGGCACTAGTGTGTGTACACAAAAGGGCAAGGCCAATTTCACTAGAGAGAACCAAAGTATCCTTATTCTCAAGGTTATTCCAAGTGTTCTTGGTGTTGTGTGAACCATTTTAGGTGTCACACTTGGGGCACTAGGCACTCAAGCTTCATGAAGACAAGCTACATCAAAAGAGGTATGGATTCTAACATGTTATATTCATATGAATCGTTGTTTTGGTATGCTAGTTAGGATAATACCTTGGATATTCTTATTTGCATGTATAATAGTGAAAACATAGATCCAAGGTATTTAGGGTTGCATGTACACTTAGGAGTGTTATAATGATCAAAACCCAACAATGGTATCAGGGCCTAGGCTTGTTTTCTTGTTATACTTGCAAAAATGGCTGAAAAATCGAATTTTGTTGCTGTTTGAACAGCAGACTCACCGAGTCCATGAAGGGACTCGATGAGTCCAAGGCAAAATGCATCCAACTCGCCGAGTTGGTTCCTGCACTCGACGAGTTGGACCCCCCGACAGAATATATTCGACTGTTTTGGCTGGAATTGAATTATGAACATTACCCTAAGATGTTTTTGGACTTATAAAATTGTTTTTGATGTGGTAATGTTCATGATAATCTAATTTCAAAGATAATTGCCAATAGATTCATGTTTGGTATTAGTTTAAAAGTTATGCTAATTACATGAAAAACTTTGATTCCAATTATCATGTTCTTATGAGTTGCTTAGATTAATAGGGAAGTTGTGTGAAATTGTTGTTTTCAATCCATTTTAATCTAAGAGTAGATTCTAAAATGTGTTTGTGTAACTTGTCCTCAAGTTACATGAAAAGACACATTTAAGTTTCTTAAAACTCATAAAAGTTGGCAAAGGTTACATAATGAAGAGTCTTGTCCTCATTAAGTGGTTTTATGACTCCATAACTTCTCCTCAAGCTATGGAGGTTCAAGAGCCTCGTCATTAAATAATATAAACGTGTAACTTCCATAAGTTACAAAAGAAGAAGAGTTACATTCTTTAATAGTTTAAAGTCTTCCATAACTTGTCCTCAAGTTATGGAACTTGAAGAGTTTTTTTAATTAAAACTACTTTAAAGTTTAAACACATAAGTTATGGAATTAAATAGTTTTGAATATTTTCGAAAACTTGTCCTCAAGTTTTGGAATTTGTAAAGTTTCCCTCATGAATACTTTAATTCCAAGTTAATCCCTTAGAGTTTTAAAAGTAAAAATTCAATCCTTATACTATTATAATATTATAAGTTAATATATATATATATATATATATATATATATATATATATATGTGTGTGTGTGTGTGTGTGTGTGTGTATGTGTGTGTATGTATAAGAGCAAGTCAGTCTTACCGTTAGTAGGCCTCATTCACGAAGCCGATCTATAAGGGGGGTATAAGGTTACTGCCTATAAAATGACAGTTTAATGGGTGTCCACTCTCACCCACCGATTCCTTGACTGGTGGAGGGTCGTTAGCCGAACGGGTAGGACAAGGACTATAATTCTCCCTTCATTAAAAGTATTAATGAAAAATACTATGTAACTAAACCTTTTATAAATACCCAATCTTAGTTACTTAGGAAAAGGTGAATTTGGTGCTAACCCATGAAATTACACTTTGCACTTTGCTTAAGTCATTAGTGGAGCGCATGTGGGTAACCGACACACTAACCTGGATTTAACAAGGTAGGCAAAGGGTAACTTAATGTTTATCATCGTATTGGTGGAGCGTGTGTGGTTAACTGTCACATCGATTGAGTGGTAAATATTAAGGGTACCAAGTATATTTGCATGGTTATTCACACCTTGTTTTGTGATTCTCGGCATCTCAGTCACAAAATTTGAGAGGGCACAATCGAGATTGAAACATGCCAGTGAACAGTTCAATGAATCTCAAAAGATCTAGGAGTTTCAAATCCAATTAAAACCCAATAATTTATTTCATTTTTCATGGTGGAAATTGGTGAATTATCATTCACCTACCTTAAAATATTTTATAGCTTGGATTACGGCATCCCTCTTCCAAGTTATAAAAATATTGTGTTGGGTCCTAACCTTAATATTTCATATTGGGTGTTATATTAAGGACTTTAAATCAACTACTTAAATATCTCCCATATAAGATGTCAAGTTCAGACATCTGTGATCATCCCAAATCTCTTGAAACAAGTTTTCCTAATGAAGATGATGTCCCATGATTGGTTCATGGAAATCATACTCTTTCACCTCCTCCAATTATTCTCCCTAACCCACAAGTTCTTGAAAAGTTTAAGGTCACTCAAGTCCTATTGGCAAGAAAGGTCTAGGTGTGATCACATCTTGGTAATGAAGTCACATATTGACAAGCCGAGAGAGTTGGGTGTCAAATTATTAAGGAATTTGAAGTTTAATCACTTTCTAAGTCACATAGTGAGTTCCTTTAGGACTCCTATGAAACAGATTATGACAAGACCCTTAATGATCTTATCTATTTGCTTGGTGTTGCTTAATCAGAAATGATTTGGTGAACTAGTAAAGCAAATTTGATTAAGAAGATCAACTTCCCAAAGCTTTATGGACAGTGACAATGGTGACACTGGAAATCCAGAAAGAGCATTCTCTTCCCAATGGAAAGGGATCGGCCATAGTCAACCCGGTTGACCAAATGGTAAAGAGAAAGGCTAAGTCTGAGATAGTCCCATGTACCATTACCAAAGGGTCCATTTAGGTCTATTGCCAAAGGAAGGGGCGTTGGTTGCAAATCTGCCAAATTTACCTAAGGATGTTAAAGTCAATAAGTTTGACTCTACTTCAGGTAAAGTCCATTGTTTAACTCTATTAAGATATTATTTGGAGATTCTTATTACATAATGTGATTGGGTCACTTAGTAATGTTTTAAGAGTCAAATAAAAGAGGAAGCTTAAAGGAAGTATATGCTCGTGAAGATGGTTTTCGATCACATGGTTCGGTAATTAGAATATTGAGTTGTTGCTTAAAGAGTTGTGATATATCGCTTAGGAATAGATAACAACAAGGTTTTTATATGAATTGTAAGGATAAGTTTTTCCGCAAAGTTTTAAAATAAAAGGAAATGTTTTTTTATTTTATTTATTTTTAAGTATCCTTACAATGTCATTTGTGAAAAATTGTTGCTTATATGATTCCAGTAATAGCAATATTGGAAAGTGAATTTGAGTCTTTCAATTTGTGGTAGTGTCTAAATTTACCAAATAAGGAAAGTTTCTCATCACCCAAGTTTCAATTGGAACGAAACTTGGAATCATGCAAGTTGTATAGTATGATGAATGAGAACTTTGAGCATCGGAAAATTAAGACTAATTCCTTATGTGAACAAGGAAAGGACTAAGGGATCGAGTAAACATCCTTGTACACTAATTAGAGTCCACCACAAAAGATCGTTAAGACTATTCATCATGATTTACTAAAGTTTAGTAAATATGGTTATACTTACCAGATTAAGTATAATTTTGAAACATTGGAAAAGTTTCGATGAATGGCAGAACGAATAAGAAGAATCAAATTAGGCAGAAAGATGATTAAGAAAGATTAAGAAACCATATCACAATTGGTCTTCTAAGGTCATCTTAGTGCATTCTTATGGCTAAGAAGAGGAGTCATGAATTGTTGAAACGGTTAAATCAAGAAGATGAGACATATTTCATTCCAAAACAATTCTTAGAGTCATACTCCAAGATTGTAACTTGAGTGACATATCTTAAAGTAGGTTTATAACACTAGTCAAATGTAAGAGTAAAATGTGTTCTACTCTTGTACATTTGAAATTGGTAAGTTGTGATGTTTTGAATAAAACAAAGACCAACTAAGGCCAATTGTGTGAAGTGTAAGTCTTGATAAAGAATCCCACACTATCTCTTGAATATTTGAAAAGAGAGTCTTATATGTCAAGAGGACAGTGGGAGTCTTAAAGGTCTTGAAAGACTCAAGAACTAATCAAGGATAAAAACCTATTGTTTTTTACTAACTTCAGGTTTATAACTTATCGTGTTGACATATTCTATGCCCAGTAAAAGTTGGCTTTGCATAGGAGCTTTGAGAGTTCTCAATTGGTTGCATAACAACTTGGAAGTAAGGGCAGACCCTTGTGATGCTAGGTGGCAAGAATTTATGATTAAACAAGTTCAGTCCATATGAATTTGGGTTTGTCATTAACCTTGTCTTGTGATTATGGTTTTGAAAAATTCATATGGGTAGGAACTCATACACCATAAAAATCTAAGTGCCATAAGGTTTCTCTTCGATTCATAAAAAATGATGGTGAGGAAACACTTTCACTAAGTAGATTTTAAGTAGATAGCAGTTGTGATATTTGCATTCTCAAATTCGTTAGGGGGGCGTGTGTGGTTAACCGGCACACTAACGTGGACTTATGAGAAGTGGCAAAGAGGTCTAAACATTATGATTACAACATCTCTCTTCATAATTGTTTAGATACACAAGTGTGCTATCTAAGCAGAGGTGTATGATTTTGATAAAGTTTATCAAAGCATCTCGTATCAAAAATATGGACTTTGGTAAGAAAGTCAATAAAGTATTGATTTCTAGAAGTCAAGCTGATTTCTGAGTACATGTCAAAGCTAGTGGGAGCATCATACAATGATGGCAGAAGCTGAGCAGGGAGATTTACAACACGTTGTCAGATCAAAAGTCCAACATCAGCTGCTTTCTCTCCAAAATATGATTTTAAATTTTCTTTTATTTCTTTTTTCTTGACACTTTGATAGTAATAACTCTTTCACTTCCATTATACATTTACAATCCTGGATTAAACAGCAACCATATATCCAATTAGCTATGATAAATAATGAGTAAATGTTGCAAATGAAAACTTTTACATTTTTACCTTATATCTTTGTAAATTTAAAGCAGAAACAAAGGCATAAACTGATTCATCTTCATCTTCTTCTATTTTAACAACTGCTCCCACTTTAGTTTGTTGTAGTATTAAGTCAACAAAACTGGTCAAATCCCATTCTTTATTATCAAGATAAGTCTGCATCAACACTTTTACTCCATGGAAATCATCAACCAACAAAGACCCTACATCTCAGGTATTCTTTTACTCCATGGAAATCATCAAGAATCGATCCCAAACACAAAAAAGGAAAAGAAAGAACCTGCGACTGCTGAAGCAGCCCTGTCTGTTTACTTGCAATGACGACAGCAGGTAGTCCATCTCCATCATTTTCGTTGATCCCACAGACGGAGACCCACCCCGTTGCACCACTCTCTTCCCCTTCTAACTCCATAAAAGCCACCAAACACCTGATGGAAGAATAAAGTTAGGGCACGAATGGAAATGATGATCGGAGAAATCGGAGGTTTTTAGAGTATTCGGTGAACTCGGAACCTTACGCCGCCGACTTCACTTTTCTCTGTCACCGATTTCCATGTTTTGATTGGTAATCGAGGTCGGAAAATTAAATCGATAATCCTGGGTCCTATTCTGTGTTCGTGTAGTTTACTATACATTCATCTCTTTCATAGAAATGGGTATTGGATGAGTTTAGAGAGAGACGGTGGGTTTCCATGTTCTTGAAGTAGTCGATGGCGGTGACAGTTGATGGAGAGTATCTGTTCAAAGTTGAAACAAAGAAATAAATTATGTATAAAAGCGAATATAGCAGATAAGTAGTATTCAAAAAAAATCCCCAAACCGTAGTGGTGGTAATTTACCTTTTGATTGAGAGTATAGAAGTGGATAAGGAGCAGAACAGATGAGGCGATGTTATGATTTTTAAATATAAGAAAGATGGAGATGTGTCGTGTGTCGCAGTTGTCGCTAATGAAGGGAGCGAAGGGATCAATGGTGGAGAGTGTAGTGCCGTCGTGCGCTTGAGGCTGTATTGTTGTTATTTTGGAGCACTATGCCGGTGGGAAGTAAATGAATTGAGATAGAGATGGAGGAGGCAAAAGAAATCTAGAAGATTACAGAACATACCGGATGAAAGAGAAAGTCAGGGAAGATAAAGACGTGCTAGATTGCTAAAACGTATTTGACAAAAAAATATGCATAATGTCGAAAAATACCCCTCATAATAGACAGGACATCCATAACCACAATAGAGGGACCATTGCTGGAAAAAAAAACAGATTTTCACTATTCATCTTGGAAGACATTTTTAATATAATAATAATAATAATAATAATAATAATAATAATACATGAATTGCCTTAACTAATAGGCATATAATACGACTGCAAGTAAACTTTGTCATCTATAATCCTTCCTGTCTTGAATGTCTGTTTAGTACTTTCCTGAGAATACATGTAGTCTTGAAAGTCAACACAAGGTTGATGTGCGTTACAGGTTTTTTTTGCTAACGCAGTATACTTTAAATAAGTCTAAACAATATTATCTTTGTATGTATAACAATAGTTAAAACAGTATTTGCAATGAGTCTTTAAAAGCCAAAAATGTATTTATGTATAAGTAAATTCATACCATAACTGTGTTTGTAATAAATCCTTGAAAGCCAAAATGTATCTTTTGTATAAGTAAACCTATGCTTTAAAAACCGTGTACGTAATTAACCATTGAATATCCTTTAAAAGCAAACTGTTATGTTATATAAGTAATTCCATACTTAAAAATAGATTTGAAAGTAGCCAAATCCATGGCCGTTAGTGAGAGAGAAAGAGGGAGAGAGATATTCCAAGTTAATACTTTTAATGAGTCCTATGACCAAGCTACCTGACTAAATGTACCCCCTACAACGCTACATTGGATGTTGTAGTAATGACCAAGCTACCTGACTAAATGTACCCCCTACAACGCAAGTGGGGATGACAACACCGTATAGATCTATACATATGTATCTTACTCCGGAGATAAATGGTTATACACGGGTATGGTAAATATTTAAACTCAGCTAATGAATCACGAAAACCCCTTAACTAAAACAAGTTTGTGAATAACTCTCAGCCCTAACTTACTTGTGTGTAAGTCACTAGGCATAATGAATATCGTTGTATAAGGTTTACAAAAGTCGAGTATGTTCAACATATATGTAAAAGTGTAATATACTCGTTTTTATAACAATGAATGTTTCAAATTAACGAACATATGTACATGTATAAACGTGGTATAAATAAACATGTTTAATAATAGCTTGAATCCTTGAATACTACAAAATTTCATAACGTACTTGTTATAATATGCAATGTCACATAAAAATCGTAAAACATTGTATCATGTAGTATTTGTTGTGTGAAATGGTTACTTCACGATGAAATAACCATAATACGTATACGAAAATTTTATACTAGTTTATTCATAACATTATGGAAAATTGTTAAATAATAATATTTTTATAAACTAGGTTTATTGCATTTTCGCATAAAAAGGTAATTGGTTTGTATAAGCAAGATATATTGGCATATGTATTCCCCCCCCCCCCCCACCCCCCGAAATAATTAAAACATTAAAAAGGGGCCGTAAGCACTCACTTTCGTAGCATGAACGAGGCTCAATGTGTGAATCTTGTCGTGAGGTTTGTTACATGACGTTCCCCGTTCTTAAAACGAACCTCCAAGTATATTTGTATTTCCTAATAAAACAAAGGGTAGTTTTTGTATTAATTATTAAGTATATGGTGGTCTTTCTTAAAATGAATAAACTCTAGGGTTTGATTTTGCTAAAATCATACTTCAGGGACTGATCTTGTAATATGTTTCCTAGACAAGGACTGAAAGTGTACACTCTCAACCTAAATTATTTCGGACAAATCTTGGCAAGATTTTTGAAGGGAGGGGTTGTTCTCTACTATTTCAAATGACAGTTTAACTTAAATGGAGAGTTATTTCGCAGGGGGGTCTAAAGTCGCACAAGTCAAAAAGTTAAGGGTTACATTTAATTAAAACGAATGAAAGTTTGATTTGCTTTGACCCTAACTGGGTCAAAATTGAGAACACACTTTTCTTCTAGGTCGACGTCTCACCTCGTTCATCAAATGGCTCCAGGCCACTTATCCGATTTAGGTTGAGAGTGTACACTTAGTGGAGCCCGCTTCAGTGGTGTACCTTAGTGGAGTCCGGGGTGTCCCAGGCCACTTATCCGATTCCGGCACGTAGTGTTAAGAAAAATTATGCTTTTTTTTTTTATTTTTTCTATTAAGTGCAGCAGCTTAAAATACTAGTGTCACTTCAAATATAGATTTATTTGGAAAAAAAATTAGTGCCACCCCTACTAAAACGTTGAGATTGGGAAAGTGAATGGCGTCCACAAAACACCTTCGATGCTGGTTCTAAACAGAAAGTGGGATCAAAAACAAGGTTTGATTGGGGTTTCGATCCTTGTGTAATCGATGAAGGGCCTACAAAATCTGCTCAGGGGTACGATGGGGAGTCCGAGATTGTAGATTAGTGGTTGAGGAATCGCAAGAGGAGGAGGTATTTGATGGTTTCGTTCAACGGAAGGGAAACAGTGGTGCGATCGGGAGTTGAAGATGGGGCACCTTTGGTGCTGGGCTGGACCGAAGAGAAAAATAAAAGATAATGAAAGCATCGGGGGTTCGGCTGCGGTGCTCGACGAGCAAGGTGGGGACGGACTGCTTCCTCCTGCGATTGCATGTAACGGACCGGACTTCTTCAGTTGTCCTGGGTTCTTCTTCTCATTTTTTTGTTTGATAGTGATCATTAGGGTATTTGGGATTGATTCTTGACAAAAATGGATAAATGGAATGGATGTGTAAGGTTAATCTTTTACAGGAAATTGATGGGTAAAAAGTATCAATTGGGTTTGGTGTGTTCATTGTGAACAGATGGAGTAAAGGAGTTTATTGGAATCATATGGCGAATAGGGGGTGTTTGGCTCATGGTCTTCCATGGAAGAAGGAGCGTTTTGCTTTATGTGAAACAGAAAAGAATGGAAACAGGAAGAGTTTCTTTATTTTCCATTGAATCTAATCATTTTTGTTCAAAGAGTTTTTATTTCTTGTTTTGGTGAATCAAATATATAGATTGATGAGTGTGAGCTGTTATATGAGTTGCTATATGATCCGCAATTAAGGAGTGTTGTTTTGTTCGAAGAATGAGTGCACGTAACCTTTATACATTTTTTGAGTGTAAATCTCTTTTCTTTATTGCAGATACCATAGACAGACAGGGGTTAAGGCTAAATGGAGTGGTCACCACCAGTCCACCAAAAAAGTGGTGCCACCTCTGAGTCACATCAGTTTCACCACCAACCCACTAAACATTGAAATAGTTACCACTCCACATCATTTATATTTATATTTATATTTTTGTAATTTTGTTAACGCTAGATTAAATAAAAAAACATAATTATAAACTTAAGTAATCATTTTACTAATTAAAAATTCAAATAAACATATTATTAATTTTTAAAATTATATAAACATATAGTAGAGGGTTTAATTTAATTCAAATAAAATTCAAAGGGTATAGTAAAAATACAAGAGACAATCTAAAGGACTAAATTTGTAACTTAAAATAAATCAAATATAAATGTCACCCGATTTCCTTTTTGGTTCGTCTTCTTCACCCGTCAACTTCAATACCTGCAAGTGTGATTTATTTTTAATTAAATGCTTCAAACGGTAGCAAAATTGACCAGCTAATTACCTTTCTTGTCTTCTTCCGTCCTGGACTCCACGCCACAACCAACCCACCATTAAAGGGGCGGTGTTCATGTGTGGAGA